TTTATTACAAGGAAAATTATAGAAAACTTTAATAATACATTTCGTATTTAACAAATTAAATAGAAAATCGATTTTAGAACCTATCCATTCAATAGATGGCGCTGACGACAATTGTTTGTCAGTTCTGTCCAATTAGAGATTCTTCCTAACTTTTGAATGCGTAATTAAGAGTTTAATGAGGTTTTAACGGAGTTTCCCGATGAATACCCATTTATCAAAACCTAATTTCGTATTCAACAATATTAAATTTTATACATTTATTTAATTCATAATAAAGTTTGCGATTGTACCTTTCTTATTTTAATATCTGCAATACGAAAAGTTATGGTGAACATTAGTTAGGTATGGATATTTTAAAATCGCCATCAGCGCCATCTATTGGGGGGCATGATTCAAATCAGAGACATTCGTTTTTGAAGCCCAGCTTACAACACCTATAACTTTTGAACGGATAATCGCATTTCTACAAAACTGGTGTGATAAGTTTGTATACCAAAAAAGATTACGGAGGGAATTTGAAGGTAACTTCAATGCTACTTTTCACATTCAGAAATATAAAATATTGAATTTTAATAATACCAGAAACTATAAAATTTTACCTTTCATATGACACCAATTTCATTACAATATCTGCAATAAGTCAAAAGTTACTGCGAAAATATATCAGGTTTAAATTTTGGATGATCGATAGATGGCGGGGACGATAAGTGTTGACCAGGGTTGCCATGTTAACAGAAAATCACGGCAATTTAGTTTATTTATAACTTTTGAATGTATATGGATTCAAAAATAATTTAAATGTATATTGATAGCCTCCATTATCCAATATATTACAGTATCCAAGAATGTTTGCCAGGGTTGCCATGTTTCCTGAAAATTAGAGTTTACTGGGGTTTTGTAAAACTTTTGAACGCCTAACGATACACTTAAAGTAGATTATTTACCATCCATCATTTTTGTTGTTGTTGAAATGTGATTATCCGTTCTAACGATATACGTTTTAAAGGTAGGACTTATAGAACTGAAACATGATCTGAATCATGTCGATCGATAGATGTCGCTGACGACGGTTTTCTTTTTGCTGATATTCCAATAAAATTGGTCCCATATAAAATGAAAATTTCTGGTGAAATAAATAAAATTTCCAGATTAGTTGAATATTAGTATGAAATTGGAGTTTCAAGATTAGTGGATCCTATGATTTTTTTTTCTATAGCAAAAAAAAAAAAAAAAAAATATATAGGAAAAAATTAAACCTGTAAGCTTGCATTTTTTTGTATAGAAAAAAACTTGAACCATTGATCCTGTGAATTTGTTTCTATAGAAAATCTTGGATCATTAGTCCTGTGATATTTTTCTATAGGAAAACAGGAACCTTGGGTGCTCTGAGCTTTTTTCCCGTTTGCCAGCAAATTTTGTTTCTATAGAAAAAATTAACATGTGGTATAGTGAATTTTTTCTAAAAAAATTGGACCTCCCATCATGATAAAATTTTCCAATAGATGAAATCGAAGCAACCTAATATTGACAAATTTGTTTTAATGTTATTAAATTAAAAAAAAAAAAAAAACATTAAATACTATAATTACCTATTGATTTTATTTACATTTTGATTTATGGTTACACACAATCAAATGGACATACATGGGCTTACAAAGAATGTAGAAACATACTTACCATGCCGTTACAGTAAACACCTTATAACAGTCTATAATAAAATATTAGTTCACTTTGTATTCCTTTTTTTGTATATATTTAATAACAGGCAACACAGAAAGGCCAAAAAAAAATTCTTAATGACATCTTAAATTGCAATTATCTGGCACTGTCTGTTGCTATCAACATGCCTATGTAAGTTAACTAAATTTGATAAAACAGCAAAATACAACTGCATTAGCTGGAGGTCAACAGCTATACTTTTTTGGGTGGGTGCAACGGTTGCTCGGGGCGAAATTTTCCATTTCATATAAATATAAAAATTATCAACTAGTATGAAGAAAAAAAAAAACACTACTATTATTTTTTGTTTAGTTTTTTGCTTTTTCGTTCGTTTTTATTATTTAATATTTAAATTGTTATACATATTTACATGTACAGAGAGAATGAATTACAAAAGAAATATATTTAGTAATATTTGTTTTATTTTTTCCTTAAAAGATGTATAAAAGTGATGTTCTATTATTTTTGTTATTAATTTAAAATTATTTTTTTTTTATTGTGAAACATTTTTAATTGAGCAACACATGGTGTGTGTGTGATGTCGAATACAAAATACTTTCGATAATGAAAAGAAGAAAAATGAAAATTTCCTTAATAAAGAAATTAATTATAATTTAATAACATAAAAATATAAAAAAATAAAATAAAAAAACAAATAAAATTATTTACATAGCTATTATACTTAGATTAAAATACATGATTTATTATTATAATATTGCAAATAAGTTTTGAATTTTTTGATATGGTAAAAAGGAGGGATTATTTGACATTTTTGTCGGAGAGATTCATAAATAGTATGTCTATTCAGTTGGGGAAAAATTGAAGTTTGCAATTTATTAAATATTTATAATTTTTGGTTTATAATTATTTAAAATCTGCCAAAGGAGGAAGGTGTTTCTAACATTGGATAAAAGAAAATAATGAGGGTGTATATATAGTGTTTCATATGTTCCTTTTCAGAAACTGCAAGAATCTGCAATTTCACTATGCAACATAAAAAATTATTTTTGGCATTTTCAAAGTTTGCCTCGGCATTTTCAAAGTTTACGAGGGAGGAAACCTAACAAGGCGTGGCAATATTTCCAATTTTCAAGACATTTTAAAATATTCGGAATAAAGGGGGAAACACATAAGAGGACTTTCAGGTTTAGCATGTTAAGATGGCTTCTTTTATTGTAAAAAATAAAGGAGAACGGCGTCCAAATTAAGATTTGACTCTGAAATTCCTTTATAAATTGACAATTCATACGATGCCAACTTAACAGGCAGGCCTGAATCCTCGTATGTGTTTCTTCATTAAGATTTCTTGAAATCCTTGCATTTTAGGTATATGGCGGCCTTTGAAATATTATTGATATACGTGTGAGAAATATTTTTGTCTAATACTTTAATACGTTTACTACAAGTTTCAAAATATACTAAAAAATCAACCTAAACATCAATAATATTATTCCGAGTTCTGAGTTTATACCAATTTTTCGCACTAGATGTCGTTTTAGTGGGTTGGTGTAAAGGACAAAATATTCTCCATAAATTTTTAGTATAAGTCAATGAACAAGAGATATCGGTATATATTATATAATATATACCGAATATAAAGAGGTGAATTTAAGACAACAAATTCAAAAATATTAGCAATTTCTTATAACAATTTTCTCGTATTTTTTTCCAAAAAAAAAAAAAAAAATGTATGAAACTGTAACCTAACCCTTAACTACTAGACTTCGAGAGCGATGAAGTATTTTCAACATAAATCATCAGCATGATATGTTAGTTGGTTTTTTATTGTAGTTTGAAATCACGAAAACGCGGACCTACTTTCATGGATGTACGAAATGCCTACTTATGGACACACGTCAATCGTAGAACTAAAAAAACTATATTTTTTTTTAATCCACGCCTCCCGTAATCCTTAAAAAAAAAACAATATGTTTAAAAATTCACGCTTATTGTAATTCTTTGAAAACCCAAATTTTTTAAAAATCCACACCCCTCGTTATCCTTGAAAAAAATAAATAAAAATCCATCGTAGCCTTGGAAAAATCTTGTTTTAAATCCACGCCCATCGTAGTCCTTAAAAAAATATTTGTTTAAATTCATGTTTATCGTAGTCCTTGAAAAAATACTTTTTAAGAAACCATGACTATCGTAGTCCTTAAAAAAATTTTTTAAAAAACCTTGAAAAATTATTTTTTAAAAATCTACGCCATGTATTTTTCTTGTTTTTTGTTTTAAACAACGCCTATTGTAGTCCTTGAAAAATATTTTTTTATAATCCACGCCTATCGTAGTCCTTAAAAAATATGATTTAAATCCACGCCTTTTGTAGTCTTGGAAAAATATTTGTTTAAATACACGCCTATCGAAGTCCTGGAAAAAATATTTGTTTAAATCCACGCCTACCGTAATCTTGGAAAAATATTTTTTTTAAATCCACGCCTAGTCCTGGCAAAAATATATCGTAGACCTGAAAAAATACTTTTTAAATCCACGACCTGTGTTGTTCATGAAAAAATATATATTTTTTTTAAATCCACGCCTTGTATTGTCTGTTTTACCTTCCAAAAACTCCGGAAACTTGGTTAAGGTTTTCTGAAACTTTCTAGAACCGGGAATGTCAAATTACAGCCGTTTCGGGTTGAAAATGTCGTTAGAGTCATCAAATTACCTAAAATATATTGATGTGGGCTTTGAGTTGACACAGACCTGTATTGAAAAAATTTTCAGGACCTGAGTTTCTGCCAACAAACAGAAGACGTGTTTACGAATATTCCCATCCAATTAATAATCTATACTCTGAATAAAATGTCTATTAAAAAAAAACGCCTTCAGTATGCTTCCTTTCTCTTATATTACGGATATTGGAAAAAACCTCCAATGCACTAGAATCTCCAAGCTAAACATCCTTTCTCTTTTTTACCAATTGTTCACAAAAATCGAATAAATTAATTAATGAAATATTGAAAAAAATTAAACTCCAACAAAAATTACAATTAAAAAAATTGGTTGCACACTTTCGAAATTATTTAAATTGAAAACTAAAAAAATTATGTGATGCTTTTGCAGTGATGAGAAAATAATTGACAATAAAAATTAACAATGAATGGAAATATTTAAAAAAAAAAACAAAATTGGAAAACCAACAATTTATATAATTAACTAAATTCATTTATGTAGATGTATGTATGTTTTAAAATGATTATTAATATATATAATTATGTATGCATATATTTCTATTTTTTTCTTTCATATTTATCATAAGTAAATATTTATAAAACAAAATTCTAATACTCGCTCCCTAGTCAATACGTTTACTAGAATCCTCTGACGGTGGCCTCACCCAACCACCATAACGTCGTTCCATTTCTCGTGCCACGGCCAAGCATAAATGATCCTGCCCTGGATTGGCCACCACCTGTATGCCCATCGGTAGCCGGCGACGATCCAAACCAATCATACAATTGGTCACCGGCAAACCCAATGTATTGAAAATAGCCATATACATGGGTTCCAACAGCTTGTGATAGATTTGATAATGCTGATGCGCAGTATTGGGGAATGTGGGATATATGAAGACTCCATCGTTGCCCAATAGTTCTTTGAATTCAGTCTTAAGGGCCTCAATGATGGTGGCCAAATGTTTATGCCGGGAATTTGGTATAATTTTCATGAAATTCTGCAAATGACCAAAGATCACCGAAGGTAGGATACTATCGGAGCAGCCAAAGAAATATTTCACGGTTTCGGTGCAAATGGTTTTTGGTCGTTCGCCTTCTTCGGTTTTGTGATAAATTGTTTCGATATTTTTCATGGTTAACATGGCGGAAAGGGATATATCCAGGGACCATTTCATTTTGCGTATATTAACACGTTTTGCCTTGAAATCATTGGCCACACGATTAATGGCTGCATGTAGATCCCGGCTAAGCGGGCGCATCATACCCGAGGGCCCGTCGTTGTCCATAAAAAAGAATCGTATACCAGTTACACTGATCTCCTTTTCGAGGGTTAATTTTGTGCCATTTGGATCAACCATACATCTCAGCAGGAGTGGTAAATCTTTAGCATATCGTGTCATGGGGGCAATGGTAAAGAAATCACCCCATTTTGGGAAATCCGAGGTGGGATGGTGGCCCTTAAACGACACCGCATACGGTGTTGGCTTATGACCCCATATACCACTAAACATAGCCGGCAGACGAGAAGAACCACCAATATCCGAGGTAAGACCCAATAGCGAAGCACCACTAGCCAAAAGGGCAGCCTCACCACCCGATGAACCACCAGGAGTCCGTTTCAAATCGTAGGGATTTCGTGTTTGCCCCGTAACATTGTTATAAGTTTCCCATAGCAAACATAATTCAGGAGTGTTGGAAACTAGGAGTATAATTCCACCAGCCCGCTTAATTTGTTCCACCACAGGAGCATCTGCTTTGGCAATTTGTGGTGTCTTAAAAACACGTCCGGTTTGATTACTCATACCTTTAACGGCTATGGATTCCTTTACAGTCACCGGTATTCCCAGAAGTGGAGTGTTCTCTTCCATTTCCTCCTCCGTGTTAATGCCCATTGCAATGACGCGATCAACTTCTCGAGCCTCTTCCAGAGCCTCTTCAAAGCGATCCTGTACAATGGCATTAATGAGAGGATTCACCTGTTTACATCGCTCTATATAGGCTTCCACCACTTCTTCGCTTTTGATCTGAAATGAGATGAAGAAGAAGAGGGAGGAATAAATTAGAATTAAATTTTATTCAAATGAAATTAATTTTGTATAAGAGATAAATATGTTAATAGGGAGAATTTTCTTCAAAGTCACATATATATATATAGTCCTCGAAAAAATATTATTTAAAAAATCCACGTCCTCGAAAAAAATTAATTAAAAAATCCAGGTCCTCGAAAGAAAATTTATTTAAAAAATCCACCTCCTCGAAAAAACAAAATATTTAAAAAATCCATGTCCTCGAACAAAAATTAGTTAAAAAATCCACGTCCTCGAAAGAAAATTTATTTAAAAAATCCACCTCCTCGAAAAAAAATATTTAAAAAATCCACGCCTCATATAGTCTTTGAAAAAAAAAATATTTAAAAAATTCACGTCTCATATAGTCTTTGAAAAAAATTATTTAAAACCAGTAAGGAAAGTAGTAAAGTCGGACTGGGCCGACTATATGATACCCTTCACCACTTTGGGTATATTCTACATATGTATCTTAACAGACGACACGTTCTGGTTACATATTTATATCTGAACCGATTTCAGGGAAACTTGCCAGAGACAAATTTATATTTATTGTGTCAATCGGCATAGCTATGGATCTTTTCACGAAGCTTAGCAACATAATTTTATACATAATTCAGTACCCTATACCAAAATTTGTGCAAATCGAAAGATATATAAGGTCTTTGGTGCATCAATTACCATAAATCGGATGAAAATATATATGGGAGCTATATCTAAATCTGAACCGATTTTCACGAAAACTTGGCAGACATCAATCTCTATTTTGTTCATTACTGTGTGCCAAATTTCGTGCAAATCAAAAGATTTCCAGGGACTTTAGTGGACTATTTACCTAAAATCGGGCGAAATTATATATGGGAGCTATATCTAAATCTGAACCGATTTTCACGAAACTTTGCACACATCATTGTAGACTTAATTTAGTACCAAATTTCGTGCATATCGAAGATATATAGGGACAATTTACCTTAAATCGGACGAAGATATATATGGGAGCTATATAAGATACTAGCAAAGTACCCGCTACTTCGTATGCGGAAAGGGAATAAAAAAATATTTCATATGGAAATGGTGAATACCGTATAATTAGTTGTACTATAGTTCTGAATTCCACCTCTATTCCTACATTTAATATCAAGTTTATTACCAGTAAGTACTCTTCATACACATAAGCACTATTTTCCGAAATCCACACTTTAGCAAAAACGTACAGGTTCCACATGTAATTCCATTTAGAACTTTTCGAACACCGTCACCTCCACTAAATTTGGTACCAAAAACCCTTTGGTCCTTCTTTCTAACTCTCTGTCAATGACCAACATTCTAAATTTTAGGTTTCCAGCTCTCTCCGTTATCCAAGTTTAGTGAATTTTCTATTCTATACTATTGGTACACATAAATTCGAGTTTCCAAAGTTGTCTCCATAGCTCAATACTACACTTCAACAGTAATCTAAGTTCCAAATCTCAAGATTCAACCAAATCCAAATTGCTTCAAATTTAGTACCATTTAGTAATTCTCATACTCATAGGTAAGAATTTCTAAAACTACATCAATCCTAATCTTACTTCCACCAAAGTCCAAATTGTTCCAAATTATTTTTCAGTCCAAATATTAGGATTCCCGCTCACTCAAAACGAATTGTACCATATTTAGTACCAATTAGGTCTTCTCGTATCCATAAGTACGAAATTCCAATACTTCCTTAATCTTGAAATTTTAATTACAAATTTACGTTTACTATCTCTATCCGTTAACTCGAATCAAAATTGTACCAATTTTTTACCATTTAGTACACATAATGACGAATTTTAAAAAATTACCGACATATCTCAATTCTGCACTCAAACTGTAATATTAATTCAAAATTTTAGAATACAGCCCTACCGTTCACACATTTGTAAGATTTCCGGATCCATTTTGTACTTTTTGTTTCTATAATTAACAATTTCCTAAACTATGTCAATCTTACACTCCAACAGTAATTTTAATTAAAAAATTCGGGAGTCCAGCTCTATCCGTTCACACATAATCAAGTTGTACGAAATATAGTACTATTTAGTACACATAGGTACTATGCTTCCATATCTCAATTCTATATTCAAACATCAACCATTAGTCCAAATTATGGGGTTCCAGCTCTCTCCGTTCACCCAAATCCATCTAGTGCCGTTTAGTACTTTTCGTACACATAAATACGAGTTTCCAAAGATGTCTCTATAGCTCAATCTTCAACAGAAATCTTAATTCCAAATTTCAGGTTTTCAGTTCTATCCTTTCAAGCAAAATCCAAATTGTACTAAATTTAGTACCATATAGTACCTTTCGTACCAATAAGTACGAATTTCATAATCTACCTCAGTCCTACATTCCAACAGTCATTTTAATTCCCAATTTGAAGACTTCAGCTCTGTCTGTTCACCTAAATCCAACTTCCACCAAATTTAGTACCATTTAGTACTTTTCGTACAAATAAGTACGATTTTTTAAAGCTAATTCCGATTATCAAGATTCCATCTCTACACACTCAACTGAATGTAAATAGTACGAAATTTAGTACCATTTTACACTTTTTATACACATAAGTACGAATGTACCTATTTCCGTACATCAACACTACTTCCCAACCAGTATTCCATTTCATATGTCAAGATTCATGCTATATATGTTCAATATATATACAACAGGAAGTAAATTCAGTAAAGTTTAGTACCTTTAGTACACTTATAGGTCGAATTTCCAAAAACCCTTTGCACATCATTCTAACTTTCCATCAGTGACCAACATTCCTAATTTCAGAATTCTAGCTCTTCCCGTTCGCTAATAAAAAGGGTACCATATTTGGTACATTTTAGTACTTTTCGTACCCTTCTACTTCCAACAAAACTTCCTGCATACCCCGATCCTACACCCCCATAATGACTGTACACTGTAGTATGAATTTCCAAAACTTCCTACTTAACCCAAACCTACACTTCACAGAGATCCTAATTCCAAGTTTCAGAATTCCAACGCTATCGGTTCACTCACAATCCAAATTGTACCAAATTTGGCACACAGTAGTATGAATTTCCAAAACCTCCAACTTACCCTAACCCTACAACCCCACGGTGACCCTAAATCCAAGTTTCAGGATTACAACTCTATCGGTTCACTCACAATTCAAATTGTACCAAATTTAGTACACAGTAGTACCAATTTCCAAAACATCCTACATACCCCAATCCTACACCCCCACAATGATCCTAAATCCAAGTTTTAGGATTTCAACTCTATCGGTTCACCCTCAATTCAAATTGCACCAAATTAAGTACATAGTAGTACCAATTTCCAAAACTTCCTACATACCCCAATCCTACACCCCCACAGTGATCCTAAATCCAAGTTTCAGGATTCCAACTCCATCGGTTTATCCCCAATTCAATTTGTACCAAATTTAGTACACTGTAGTACGAATTTCCAAAACTTCCTACAGACCCCAATCCTACACCCTCACAGTGATCCTAAATCCAAGTTTCAGGATTCCAACTCTATCGGTTCACCCCCAATTCAAATTGTACCAAATTTAGTACACAGTACTATGAATTTCCAAAACTTCCTACAGACCCCAATCCTACACCCCCACAGTGATCCTATATCCAAGTTTCAGGATTCCAACTCTATCGGTTCACCCTCAATTCAAATTGTACAAAATTTAGTACATAGTAGTACCAATTTCCAAAACTTCCTACATACCCCAATTCTACACCCCCACAGTGATCCTAAATCCAAGTTTCAGGATTCCAACTCTATCGGTTCATCCACAATTCAATTTGTACCAAATTTAGTACACTGTAGTACGAATTTCCAAAACTTCCTACATACCCCAATTCTACACCCCCACAGTGATCCTAAATCCAAGTTTCAGGATTCCAACTCTATCGATTCATCCACAATTCAATTTGTACCAAATTTAGTACACTGTAGTACGAATTTCCAAAACTTCCTACAGACCCCAATCCTACACCCTCACAGTGATCCTAAATCCAAGTTTCTGGATTCCAACTCTATCGGTTCACCTACAGTTCAAATTGTACGATATTTAGTACACAGTAGTACGAATTTCGAAAACTTCTTACTTACCCTAAACAGAGATGCTAAATCCAAGTTTCAGGATTACAACTCTTTCGGTTCACTCACAATTCAAATTGTACCAAATTTAGTACACAGTAGTACGAATTTCCAAAACGTCCCACTTAACCCAAACTTTCACCCCCAGACTGATCCTAAATCCAAGATTTATGATTCCAACTCTATCGGTTCACCCACAATTCAAATTGTACCAAATTTAGTACACATTAGTAAAAAATTTTAAATCTTCCTACATATCTCGATCTTACACCCCAACAGTTATCCTGACTCCAAATTTCATGATTCTAGCTCTATTGGTTCGCATAAAATTCAAATTGTACCAAATTTAGTACCATTTAGTACCCATGAATATAAATTACTGAAACTGGGTAAAAAAATTCCAAAACTACGTACATTCCCAATTCTACACTCAGATTTCCAACTCCTAATGTTAATTTCAAATTTCAGGATTCCAGCTCGATTTGTATCTCCAAATTAAATTTGTACCAAATATAGTATCATATAGTACTTTTCGTACACATGAGTACACGCTTTCAAAACCATCTCCTTAAATAGACTCTACATCTCATCCCTAAGTCGCATTCCAAATTTCAAGTTTTTAGCTCTATCAATTCACATGCTACGAAATTGTACAAAATTAAGTACATTTTAGTACTTTTCGTACCCTTCTATTTCGAATTTCCAAAAACCCGTTGGTACATCTATCCTACACTCAGCGACCACCAATCCAAATTTCAGAGTTCTAGCTCTACCGGTTCGCCAAATACAAATGGTATCACATTTAGTACTTTTTAGTACTTTTCGTACCGTTCTAGTACGAATTT